CTGCACAGCAATAGAGGTCACACCGAGCTGATCAAGGTCTGCCTTCTTGCTCGTCAGAGCCGTGGTCACACCCTGAACGGATGTCACGAGGCCCGATGCCGTGTCTTGCAGCCCAAGAGCCTCCATGAGGCTGAGAGCTTGGGCACCTTGCACCTGCGTCGTCGCCGTTCCGATGGCCGTCTTGACCTTCTCTGACGCCGTCAGGATGGGCGCCGCCGAGTTGGCGTCAGCTCCGGAGAGGCCCTGCACTGGGTCAGGACAAGGTTTTCCATACATGATACGAAGCGCTTTCTTACCTGAACGGCCGTGGTGAGATCATCAAGTGCCGACTGCACCGTGGTGATGGCACCCTGGATCGTCTGCAGCTGGCGCCTGTGCATCGAAGGGGCGGCAATGGCGCCACCGGCCAGCAGCGTCTTGACGAGGAGGGCGCTGAAATGCATCTTGAACGATGTGCTTATTGTTGGTGGGAGGACGAAGCAGACAAATCAAGTGATACTCTCAAGCCAGCTCAAGATGATCCGCAAAAGAAGAGAAGAGTTGTTGTAGTAAACAAAACTCGAAACTAATATGAACCTCCACGTTGATCAAATTAGCTTGCATAGAAGGGGACGAGAATCATGTTCTTCCAAGGAAACATGCTCCTCTTTATGTTATTAGTTACGAGCAATACTTCGAAAATCGTCCATTCTTTTGCCTTCAAGCCTGGAGTTCCAGCTTGGAGCCCCAGCGCGTCGAACATTTCCATGCCTGCGACAAGCAGCCCGTAGCACCCAAAACAGACCCGGCAGACAGCATGTCCAAGAGGATGGTAGAGATTGCGACCGAGCGTCGCCTTCATCTGGGGGCACTGCCTCTGCGATGGCTGGCAACTCAGCTTTCTTTGCCATGTCTTGATGCTTGACATGTTCAGATGAAACGAAACGCACGGCACCACCAAGGCCACCATGTTCAAGGCATCCACCCCGCCCCGGCCGGATCTCCTTCGCACGACCCTCAATGCATCGACCTACTGCTTCGGGTAACCGATGGCCCGCAGAGGATCGACGGTCGCGATTCGCTTCTGGACCTTTCTCTTTACCCCCTTTCAATCTATTTTCGGGCCGCCCAGCTTCCGTTCAATTGTCGTCCTGCCTGTGACGTGAGGTTGTACCCACCAATGGGTATGGTGTGACCATGTCAGACGGCAGCTTGGCAGAGTTCTCCCCAGACAAGGCTCTGGCCACATTGCAGTGTACGTGCTGCTTTCCCTCGGCCAAAATGTCTTTTACTGCCCTCTTACGATTCTCGGTCAACATGCAATGTGGGCAGAGACGTTGATAACAAGGCAATGCACCGCACGTGGGCGCTTGATGCGAGATTCTAGCTTTTCAAGTTGAGCAATAAGTCAGCTGTATTTTCTCGGGGGTCAGACGGATGACTTCCAATAAAAGGGTGCTGGATGCAGATAAGGTCGCATGGAATACGTTTAATAGCTCAATGACATACATGATGTATAGGTTGTTGGCTTCTCAGCATGCCACGTCAGTCATGCACCCGCCGCAGCCTTGGATGCAGAACGCAACATACTCCGTCAGAGTGTATATATCAACGAGCCGTCAGTTCTGTAGTCCGTCTTCATGTGCTGCAGCTATGGACACAAGGACTCAATCTCGATAATCATGGATTTCGATCGTTTGTTCAGCATCATGGGTGACGAAGAAGGCGTTGCTAGGGATCTCCCTCACGACGGAACATCAGCTCCATCGTCTTCCGAACCTAGCTTCGCCAAAAACCTCGATCAAGTAACATTTCGTGGAATAACCTTTCGATGGGGGAGCGCACCCAGCTTCCTTGATTTAGGCAGCTTGGGAGCCGCTCACCAGTGGTTGAACGATTCTGTCGAGGCTATCGAAACCAGCCCTGAGACAAGGAAAGGCCTCACTTTCCTTCTCCTCCTCAGGTGTGTTCCCGAGCATGATGAACGCAATGTCGAATATAATGTTGCGATTCATAAGCTCGGAGAAACATCCCGACGCTGTCCTAAATTTTCTGGCTTTGTGGGGGGACGAGAACAAGTAAGGAAATCAACGTTTGACGGAGCAGGGGTGGAGGTGCACAGAATCTTGACTCCGTTGGCGTCTACGTTCTGGTTTCGCATCCATAGTTTGAACTGCATTGTTGCACAACTGATGACGCCAGCTGTACGAAGGAACGCCACGCTGAAGAGGATCTTGCATCACCCGGACTTCCGCGACGAGGCGCGATGTTCGCACTGGCCGGCGACATTTCTCGGTGGCGTACACCTATCCCTTACCGAGAAAATCGAGCGGATTAGAAACGAAATCCTTGACATCCAAGGCCCTGCAGGCCTCACGCGGTTGCCCAACGGCGCTAACGCACTAAGGATATCTCGAGAGGCGGTGCATTTATCAAATCAGTGTGTATACTTCGAAGAAGTCTTTCACGGATTAGCTTCGGCCATAACCCTCATAGAGTCAAAGTCTAGCAATAATCGCTACTATGATCCCAAGCGCAAACTGTACTCCCTGAAGCAAGAATTCGAGCGCGCAGGAAGCTATTGTGTAGGTGGTCGCGAGAGATGTGCGACTCCGATCCGGGGCGTGCAGATAGTCATCGCCCAGCGCGACCAAGAGGCAACGCTCAAACTAGCAGCCGAGTCTACCAATATTGCCCGCGCTAGTTGGCAAGACACAACGTCCATGACGGCCATCACAGTCATCACGATGGTATTTTTACCCGGAACGTTTACAGCGGTAAGTTGGCCTCGTAGCAGACAAGATGTGAAATACTGACGCCTATCAGACCCTGTTCTCGATGCCGTGGTTTGAGGATCTGGCTGGGAACGGAAACGCCACCATACAGATGAAGGTGTATACGATTTTGACTGTATTGCTCACTGCTGGCGTCATTTCCGGTTGGCGCGTCTGGTGCCGGATACGGCATAAGAGAAGAAATCAGGAGATCTCTGCTCAAATAGACAATAATAAGCTGGAGGCTGGAGCTATCAGAGGAGGCGTTGAGACTACTTCAGCTTGAGGATGTCATTAGAAATGCTGCGGATGGTTTTCTTGAATTTTTTGTCTGCACGTTAACAGGGTTGCTCATGTTGTCCTTTCACTGAATTGGATCCTTCTTTTCCTTTGTTTTAGTGGGTTTATTCGTCAGCAACTCCTGCTTCTCTCTCAAGAATGCAATATATTTCGTAATGCATGATTCAAGTTCAACGACGACGACGACCCACGGGAGCACTCGAAAGAGGAGAGTTATGCTGCTGATCAAATTACGAGGACGCAAAAGACTGCCGTTATCTAGGTTTCTCATTTCTTCTAAAGAACAGTGCGATGAAGTGTAACTGTTTTCGTGGAGTGCTTTTCCACGTAATGTGGAGCTGAGCATGCCTCACTTGCGGCAAGTTGTCATCTCTCGAACTGTTAGAGAACGTTCGGGTCAGTGTAGCACACGAGCGACATGAAATCCAGTATTCGTACAAGTAGTACACGACTTGGTGATAACAACCAGCCTGTAGCTTGTGTCAGGAGGCACCCGCCGAGCCACGGGACAAGGGGTTAGTTTAGGGATTTGAGACTACGAGATGGCGTATATAAGGGCTGCGAAGGGCCAGAGTTTAGATGTATTCCTACCCCCTACCGCACTCACAATTGACTGCGGATATCACCTGCGGAAGACCTCTTCACTCCGATCACCCACATGCTCTGATGGCTACTCGTGTAAGGTTTCCTCTTGGAATAATTGCTGGAGCATGCCGTGAACTTGGGCCTAGGGCTGGCTAGGCATTTTGCAGTGATCATTGCTGCAGTATAAATCTTCTTGAGTCTAATATGAGACCGATTGTTGGCATCTTGATCAGTTTCAAAGGGGGAGGTAGCTGTTGGCGCTAGTAGAGCTCTCACGTTCTATTGTCACAATCAGAAGACGGCTACCCTCAGTCTTTGATTGACAGCCTCATTCACTGCGTGATAATCCAATCGGCTCAAAATCTGGAGAGAAACAGCAGATCAAGCTCATACGTGACAGACTTGTGGCCTGTGGCTATGCTGGTCAAGCAGGAACTTCTAGGACACGGGCTTGTGTAGTGGAGGATGTGACAGCATCGGCGATTGATGGGGTGAAAGGCTCTAAGGGTACACGATATCAAGTTGAACGCAATCGTGGCATAGTCATTAAGTTTGCATATTTCCTTGCCCTCCTGTCGGGGACATAACTTGTCGACATGGCTCTGGCACGATGGTGCACATATCTTGACTCCTAGTGGCAGCCATGCAATGCCATGGTAGCTGTTGAGACGACTGTCCAATCCTCAAGGGGTCTAATGGAGGCTCTGCATCGAGTTGAATCGGTTCATCACCTTGCGAACCAGACTCGGACTGCCATGCTCACGGGCTGCAAATCAAAGGCCGGCGGATCGCCATCCATCTGAGCCGAGCGACGGTTTTCATTTCCGACGGCCGCGCCGAATGCAACCGCCGTCGGGCGTTTTCCGACGCCGAGACGTGCCTTCCGGCGGTCGGTCGATGCAGGTCTTTGGGCGGACATTGACCGAAGAGGGTCTGATGGTTGAGCGCGGGGAGATCTCCTACAGAGGACCCGCCATCGTTGAGGGGAAGCATGTTGTTCCATGCGGTAGCGTTAGGATCATGCCTTGGCGTCCCCGACTTTCCCCGCAGACATCCTGGGACTTCACGCCGTCGTGGGAAGAAGAAGATGGAGATGTGGGTAGACGTGGGGCCATTGTACGCCTGCCAGCACTCTTCACTGCAATTCGATTCCTTGGAGAGGAAGCATTCAGGTCCAGGCACATTCACCTGGTTGCGCCGGGGACAACGATACCAGGTGGTCCCTAAGGTAAGGGACCTACCTAGGTTGGGGCGAGCGACCACGATGAGACGCTCAAGCCCAAGGACGAAACCTAGGGAAAGAGCTACAGGAGGCTTTGCATGCCAAAAATACAATTTGCAGGAGGCTTTGCGTGCCAAAAATACAATTTGCTGTCCAAGCCAAACAGTGTCACAGATTGTGCTTTCGCCCTGCTGTCCATCTGCAAAAGTAGCCCGATCTCGGCACAAGGATCTGACGACTGTAACCTTGGCCCATTATGTTGATTATGAATTAATTCTCGTTGCCCCCGACGTAGATGAGGTAACTGCCGACATGCATATCGGAGACTGTCCGTCGATACGGTCAGAAGTTCCTTCCCTTCCTTGGGGGGTGCGGTGCCACTTCTGGTACAATCCTGATCCGGCTCCTGCCCCAACCACCCACCCCCACGCTGTACTTACTCAGGCCTGGAAGGGGCCGCCCGCCCACTGCCGCTGCGCTCCTTTACCTGTAAGGTCGACAGGGTCCCCCACCTTGCATGGATGGTTCCTCGCTGTTGCCGTCGCGAGGCGGCTCAAACGCAAGCAGAACGACCGTGGTGCATTTCGTATCTAACCGAATGATGCTGGTCACGAGGGAGCGCTTCCCAGACACAATCGAGTCACCATGTGAATCACCAATACGGGAGGCCGCCCTGCCTCTGACGAGCAGTGCGCAAGGTTCTTGCCTCCAGCGCCATCTCGTGCGCCGCAGGCTGTGGCAAGATTCGTCATGGCACTTGAATCGGCGCTTCTCAACAGATCCCAGATCTAGCTAGGTAGCCAGGTAGACCCAGGTGCAGAATTCTGTCCGGATTTCCGGCGCCTTCCAATGGCTGTGCCACGGTTCGTACCTTAGCTGGAGTGGCACGCCCCCCCAACAGGCCCCTGTAGGGGTCTAGGACTGAATCCCGCGGTGGGGCCGCCTCTGGCTAGGCACTGGTCCACCACCTGGCCGTACCTACGAATGTAGGTAGGTACTGTAGGTACCTAGGTAGGTCACACGAGGCTTCCACGAGCGGATCGTCAACCAAAAGAGGATTACGGGAGGGATTGAATGTTCGTCGTTCGTCGCTCATCGCTCGAGTCAGGGTTGGCTGCACAGAATACACAGGTCCAACATACATGTACAACGCCGTCCATCGCCAAGTGATTTCTGTCGCCAACTGATGCCAAGTGACGTTGTCGGAGAGTGTCCGAGAGGTACCTGAAAGCTTGACTGTTGTGTGTGGGGTGCCAACTTTGTCTTGGAACTTGATTGTTGGTGGCCATGTCATGAAGTTGTCATGTCTGTTGAGGAGGGTATGATGTCTCAGCGTCCATCGTGAGGCGGGCTTTGCAAATGATATCCGTCTGACGCTGCAGGGAGAGAAGCTTGAACGCGGTGAATCGGCCCTGTGCGACCTAGGTACCTACCTAAGGTACCTAACCTAAGGTACCTACCTACCTTAAGGTAGGTAGGTACCGAGCGGTGACCGACAAACAGGCAAGACCTACCTGGGGACCTACCTGCATAGAAGTGGCAAGCAGTGATGGAAAGTGACGTGTTTGTCGTGGTAGGCACTCATCGTGAGTTGCTCCTTCTTGCCTCGGTGGCCCACGAAGCAGAAAAATCGGCATTGGCATTGGCATTGTCGACAAAAGATGAAGCAGAACAAACCATGTGCGGATTCCCGAGGGCGCATCATCAACACCGTTTCCTTGTCGCCCTTCGTTTCAGTACCTATTGAGCATCGCTATTCTCGTTGTCCCCTTGCGCTCCTGCTGGTCCGTGGCCTCGAGGGTTGCACGTCATGACGATGATGTCGCAGCAAGACACGGTAAGACACCCTGTTTCTTTCGTCGTTCTTCCGCTCCACCCTGTATCTGTGTCGCTTGCTCTCTCTCTCCCCCTCTCTCTCTGTCTCTCTGTCTCTCTCTTCAGCAGCACCCAACACATCCCAGCATCTCGCCCTGTCTATCACCGATTCCCGTCACTCCAAACCGCCTCGCTGCTCTCCCTCCCACCCTGCCAAGCGTCTAAAGCGTCAACACAGCCACTGGGTCCTCTCGCCTCCCCGCATTGTGCTGTTCAATTGGGTCTCAAAGCCCGCTGGAATCCATTCTGATTGGTCGCTCTACATCTTCAATCCTCCTTGATTGGCGCTCCTCAGCTTGGTGACGACGACTTGGCTCAACGCAGAGGGTGGAGCACCAGTCCAGTCAGCCTCCGCCAACGACGGACGATGACCGTGCCGTTCGGACGATGACCGACAGACGAAGGCCAGTTCCTTGCTGAGTCTCTGGCGTCTCGACAAACTTGGTGCACCAGCAACACTTGGCGACGCCATTTCCCCTCTGCTGCCCTCTCCACATCCCATGCGCCAACCAATGCTTATTCCGCGACCAAGGCGTGTGTCCAAGAGATGCGATCAGCAGCCGACAGAATGTGGGTAGCCGGCAGCATCGTGAAGATCGTCCTCAGGTACCAGGAGAGCCTCGTACAGGAAGGCAGAGGCAGTCTGTCCAATGGAGCTCTGGAGCCCCAGGAACAGTAAGCAGAATGCAGCAAACACCACGCGTTGTGCAGCAAGCGACATGACGAGCTAGGCCTGGCCATCAAGAAAATGGAACGTCGCGTGTGTTGGAGGGTGCCGTCAGGATGTATTGTGGAGGGACAGGGAGGTACGTCTGGTACTTGGCGTGGAGTAACGCCATATCCGTTTGGGCGCGTGACACCTTTCCCACCCACGCACACCCGCCCCGACCGGACGATCCCCGAGCCGCTTCTCATCGGCCGTCCGTCGTCAGTCCATGGAAGTGCGCCCGTCCACCAAATCCTCGTGGTCTGCCCTTCTCCCATTCACTCTGCCCCTCCGCAAAAGGTTTAAAGAACCCGCCCCCGATCCTCCCTCATCCGAATCTGCCTTTCCGTTCCTTCACACCCTCTCAATCTCCCTTCTCTCCCCCCCAACCCATCCTTCTCGCAACCACACGCCTCTTGCATTCATTTGCAAACCCGCTTGCTTACACCAAGGAACCAACCAGTATCCGATGGGAGAAACCGACGCCACCAGGAATGGTCACAACTACGATTCTGCGGAGCCCGCTGCCGAGCAGGACGACCCCTCGAATGGTATAGGTGGTTTCAATGAGAAGCCCCCCATCATCACAGCAACTAGT